CAAAAGACTTACGAAAGCGGAGAACCAAATCCATGATGAGATAATAAATCTTTCAGCCGTCGTATAAGAAACTTATCTTTAGATGAATAATAATAAAGACTTGCGCCCAAATTATGAGCTATCGCTCTCAATATCTTGCCAATAAATTCTTTTTTCGTTGAGTCAAATTCCTATTGCAGAAATTAAGACATAAAAGAATAAATTTTTAAAACATGTATATGCTAATTTAAATTTAAAACTCATACATACACTTTTTAAGTTTAATTGATCAAAGTAGTTGATAAAAAATTTTTAATAACAAATAATTTTATATAATAATCGACATATCGATATATATATTAACATCAAAATAAAATATTTAATATTTTTTTATTTTATTTTTATTCTCTGCAATGCAGAAAAAATATGCAACTTTCAAGATATTAAAAACCTAGAACTGAGATTATAAAATACCTTGAACTCATCATATCGTCCACCTATGATACACATCTTCATCGGTAACGGATCAACTCCACGTTCTAACTCCTTTTTTCTATCTGCTATTCTTTTTTCTCGTAATTCTTGAATTATATTAGAATCATAACTCATTTTCAAACCACTTTGTATTACGGAACGAGTCTCTTCAAAGGAAGTCCATAATTCCTCCGGTCGTGATAAATCCAACATCATCAATAGCATAGTATGATGAGGAGAATGCGTTAATGTAGATCCCGTCATTGCGACAGATACCAAAGAAGAAGCCAAGTGGCCTACTTCCCATACGTGTACTATATTTTTTACCTATGATAACATACAATTTAAAAGTTTAGTTCAATATTAAATTAATAAAAATGTCGATAAAATCAATAGAAATATTATGCTTTAATTAAAATAAATATTATAAATAATGCTATAAATAATGCAATTTTACATTTATTTTGTCAAATTTGCAGCCAGCAAAATAATGCAAAAAGAGGAAATTAATTCTATCCTTCATGAATTGTACATTCTAATGAATAAATAAATATAATTTCCCCACATTACTTACTAAACTTTTTACAGTTTTGCGACCAAACGAATAATCCATTGCTATCGTCGGTTTTGGCCTTTCGTCTTTTTCGAGAAATCGATACACCATTGTTGTTTTACCCTAGAAGCGCAATTGGAAATGCAAAGTACATCGCGAAAACGCAGTACGTTTCTAATTTCATCACTTACAACTCCCTTGCTACCAAGGATAATAATGGATCGTTCGTGAGTTTCATTTGGATCAGTCTTTCGTCTGTTTTCTTCTTCTACGGCAAGTCGTAATGCCGTTTCTCGCATAGACTCATCACTATAAACATAATCTTATTGGAACTAATTCTATCATGTTAAAAGTATATATATAAATTAAAAGTAATAAATACTATATGTAAATTAAAATATGTAAGTAACAATTTCTTTATTAAGTTATATTTTCATTAAAGAATCGCGTAAAAGAATTTTTTTTAATTCTTTGTCAATTATTATTGCGAAATTAATGATATCAGATGATAGAAACATCTTTATAAAAATTACTCGGTATTACTGGTTTGATGGAATTGTTTAATAATATATTATAATAGTACATATTTTTTCTTTACAAATTAATTATGTATATAATAAAGAAATCACCAATTTTCTGCAGACATTGTTTTTGAAACGCGATGAGAACGTGATACTGGACACTCTAGTTGTATTCGCACAATTCTATGTTTCTTCAGGTTATGGTAATGTTTTACTTCTCGTTTCCACGGAGATAATTCAATGCGCTCATACTATTCCTGCATGATGTAAATTTGTGGATGATCGGTATGCGATTTTTTTTTGTTTTTTTTAGTTGCATAGTGTAATATAATACAGCATTCTCTATTCTTTTAATAGATATTTAGAGACCGGTAAATAAATAATTAATTTATTATGACATTTTCTTAATGTCCAGTCTTGAATTAAAAAGTTTCGTAGGCATTGCATGTTTGTTCAAATAAATAATATTAAGTTATTCTCAACTGCAATATTATTAATTATTTATGTTGATATTTATTATACATTATGCAAGATAGTACAAGGTATAATAATTTACACATCTACATATATTAATCATTTCTACGTAACGCTTCACTCGTATGCGCAATGATTTCACGAGATGTCATCAGTCTTTAATAAAGAAATCCACACACACAAGGATATCTTTTTTTTTTAAATTATATAATATCAACTCTGAACACTTTCGTTCAATTTCGACTTTTCCGTTATGTAAAAAATGTCTTCAGAGTTATACATGCAAGTTACAACAATATGCTAATACATCTCTGCTAAATCATAACGCATAGCAATCTTTAAATTCATAAATTTATCTATGAATTAAATGTATCATTTTAATGTACTTTTCTTGCGCATGTTATGTACAATTTGGACTAGATGAAGTCAGGAATAGAATGCACGTTACAATCCGCAATAAAATTCAACATTTTCTAAATTAATACATGCGAGTGTACAATTTTTGGACATTAGAATTTTTCCATAATTACGAACACATTAGTCTTCACAATTATATAATAATGATTATATAATTATTGTAATAAATTAGTAATTGCACAAGATTTTACCAATTATGAGAAAACTATTAGCGTCATATTAAATTTTTTTTTTAAGAATTTGAACGCAGACCAGACATTGCTAATTTTCTCAATGATTATAATTAATACACGTTTGATTTATACAACAAACAAAGCAGTCACATTTGTCTTTTTTTGTTTAATTTGTATGTATATTATATGTACAACTCAGTTTAATCCAATTACTGATCTGAAACATTTATGGCAAACAAATACTTATTTCAAAGACGTATAACTTCGGTTGCGCGCACATGCTAAATACAAAATACTAACGAGTTTTTATGCTTAGTCCTGCTATAACAAACTTGATACATTAAAATGTCTGTAAAAAATAATGTTAAACTGCAAGTAAACACAAATAGTATTTCTTTCAGCAACTATTTCATCCACGACTATTTTATCCTCAGCCCAGAAAATAACATTTCCAAAATTCCTATGTATATCTCTATGACAATATATGTTTACTTTATAGAGATTTTGTATGAACACTATGGTTGGTAAAAATACTTGAGAGGCATATGACAATTTGTCCAATATATATCCGCACAAAACTATAGTTTTAAATATAAAAACTATAAGTGACGTGTGAATAATTACTTATTAAGTAAAATTAATGTTGTCCAGATTAACACGAACAATTAATATTCGTGAGATTCTCTTTCCAATACGTACTGAATATTCTATTTTGTAGAAATACCATGCTTGTCCTCCTTATATGAAATTCTATCGCGATTTACTATCACGTGTTTATCATATTATTTATCATCGATTATTTACACTTTATAGTACTCGCTATGTTAAAAATTATGATCCAATGTAAATACTGGTTTTTTTTCAGAAAATTTATCGGACAATCGATAGACATCGCTATATGTTTCAGATTTCAGATGTAACGGATGATACAAAGGAAGACAAATGTACAGATTAGTCATCTATTTCTATAATATTTCATTGCTTCTATAATGCAGTATATCACGCGCTCTGCATGTTATCTAGTCCATATGTCACTCATCCAATTATCATTTAATTCTTCGCTCGGTAGAACATTTAATTTTCTTAAGGCTTCGAGATAAAACGTGAGTTCCGACGTGACCACGCCATGTTGCGGACCACCATTGTTTACTATGTTCATTTTAACTAGTTGCTCCCTAAGCTTTTCTTTGAAAGATGAATTTACCGTACGGTAAAGAGATTGTACTTCAATGGTAGGCAAAATTCCAGAGACGGCTTCATGAAGTTTCATTAGATAACTATAAATAAATAATATTTTACAAAACAGATACTAAAAATAGTTGTAATTATAATTGTTATCGCAAAATTTACCTAGAGATATTTCTGAAAGATTTGGATGGCACCGGAGGTCTTGCTGTCCATTTGGATATTTGTCCACCTAGCAAATTGTCTACAATGGTGAGAATTTTTCCTTCAATCTCACGCACGTGTGCACGAATGTCTCTTTCAACGCTATCTAATAAAGCTACTCCTCCACTTAATCCAGATACGCCAATAAGACCTCGACTAGGATTTTGTTCCGTGAGTGCTACACATTAAATGCGTAAAATAATAACATTTATATTTAACATTGTTTTTAGCATCAAGTAAAATTTATACATTTCTAAATACTATTTATCTAACTTAGATTTGATTTCTCACGGAATTTATTAAATTGCAATGTTCAATTACCTTGAAAATGTGATTTGACGAAAGGCATAAACCACAATATAAGCTTGAGACTTCGCGCCGCCAATACAAGGATCGTACTTGTGATGGTTTTTAAACCTGCAACTTGCATTGCGCCCGCACCCAGAACTAATTGACAACATCGAGAATTATAATGTCTTAACAGTTCCGCTAATTGTCTCCCTATAGTTCCAGACAAGGCAACTAATTCACTACCGGTTCTTAAAAAAAAAAGAATTATTTTCGTTATATTATGTAACGTCTACAATCAAAATGTAATCTGTCTTTACCTGCAGTACTCGTGTATCATCTGTATGAGCATCAGAGCAGTCCCAACAACAGCAAATTTTTCATCGCCAACCATGATAAAAGCCTCGACGCTCTCACTGTTCGTGCTATCCTCGCGCGTAAGTATTTTAGGCGGAAAACATTTCTTTTCATATACATACGTCACCAATGACTGAAATTCTAACGGTACGTCAGCTTGTTTCCATCTTTCGGATTCTAATAGCAGCGTCAACTTAGTTTTGCGTTCATTGTGAAAACGTTGGACAAATTTACTCGCTTGTGCCTGCAAAGTACATCATGTCGGTCGGATAAAACATGCAGAAAAATTGAATTTACACAAATAACATGATTTACATGCATAATAATTACCTTAAATGCCGATCGTAACGCAGTGCATTGTTTGCCACAGAGTTTTTCGCAAGCGTGTGTAAATTCTTCGACCATATTAGCTAATTGGCAAACTTGAGCGGTTGTTGCTCTATCGCTCAACCAAGAGTTTTTATCGTTCCACGTTTGACCTTCTTTGTCCTCCAATTTATTCTGCGCAACATCAGCAATAATTTTATCGTTATGAAATTTATCCTTTTCATTTGTTCCTGCTGAAAGCAGATTTCCCATTCGCTCGTGGCAATAATCGCATACGGAGGTAATCATATCATTGAGTTTGGTGATTACTCTCGTATGCTCTTCTTGAGTTAATAAACGATCAGGTACTGTTTCGTCGAATAAGCCATCGCATAAATATCCCGCTGATAAATCTGCAGTATCTCTCATCACATCATGAACTGCCTAATGAAGATATTTAATTGTGATAGTACATCAGATATTTCATATCTGCCGGATGTTTCGCAAAGATAGAGATTGAGGAAGTAATTAATAATGAAAAATAGCGATTATTACAATTTTAAACTTTAATAATTGAAACTATGTATTTGATAATAAGATTTTACGACAAAAATTTATAACAGAATCTTGTAATTTGTAATTAATTTAAAGTCTTTTCAATATTAACTTTGATATTTGATTACAAAAATATTTACAATCTAAAATTAAATCTGTTATAAAATATTGAAGATAATAAAAATAATATATGATCACATACCTTAACTCGTAATAGGAGAAATGTGAAAGACTGTATAGTATTGTGGAGCAAAGTTAATCTTTCCGTCAAAGAAAGGCCTCCAACTTCGAGAGCTGCCGCTTGCTGATCGCTACAACAGTCGCTAGCTGCCAAAGCCTCTATCACCCGTTGCTTTGTTAAGGCTCTTATAGTGGTTACAGCTTCCTCTTTGTACGTGTCCACAAATTGAAAATGTTTCTGACGTAGTAGACCAGAAATGATGGAAACCAGTTTATCCTGTTCGTTGAGGACGTACAAATGATCTCACTGGGAAGAGATGTATGAAGGTTTTTTGCTACAAACTAGGGATGCAATGCGATGCAAAATTATGTGTATGTACTTACGCCGTCTAAAACGATATTCTCGCCACCCAATGGTCTATTGAGATCTGCTGTCGCATATCTTTGAAATTCAGTTGATAACATCTTGTCCACAAGTTTCTCCATTTCAGTTAATTGAGAACTTAAATGTCTAAATAATATTAACGTACAAAAATGTATACTTTTTAATAATTCATCAATGTTTTAGAAATTTTATAAATATTTTTAAACAAAAAAGGAGAGGGGGGGAGGAGAAAAAAATAAAGAAAAACAATGTGTGAATTTTAAAAATCTAAACTGACCGAAACCGAAATCAAATCGATATCGTATTCTCCACGCTATTATATCGTTAAGACCTTATTTTATCACTATAGCATTATTATTATTTAGCCTTAATGTTATTATTATTGTAATTGATATTATAGATTAAGTCCATTTACTATCCAATATGGATAGAAGTGGTGCAAGTTTGATATGACAATTGCGTCCGTAAAAATTTATCAATATTGAACAAACTTAAATATGAATAGATTATAGATAATATCAATAATCTGTGCATAATTTCTAAATATTTACCTAAAGCTATGTATTCCGTTCAATTCCTGCAAGAGAATTTCTTGTGTCGTGGAAATAAGATCTAATGCTGCAACATAATCCGGTGTAGATAATAGTAATTGTATCATAGGTTGACTTTGATGTACAGTTGCCATAAGTTTTAATTTGTCTTGAACTATTAACCTGTTAGACCTGGCACGCTCCAAGCTGAATAAAAAGAGCAAATATTAAATCGAATGCTTATGTCAACAACTAAATATATTGTTGCATTCGCACCGAATCCAGAGTTCTAGACAAACCTTCAAAACAATACATTTATGATTGTTTATCGCGTTTTATTACACACTTGTACTCACAGATAAATAAAAAGATTACTTATCGAAAATAAAAACGTTGACAATTATGGATTCTTAACAACAAGGTAGGTAACAAGAATGATATACAAGTCCACTTTCGGATATATTAGCATGATTACAACATAGCCGAATGACATGCGAGATGCCGATTCTTTTTTATTTTAAAAGATAACTCGCATTTATTTATGCTTCTTTTGTTTTTTCTCCACAGAGTATTAATTTTGTTCGCTTTGGTTTTAACACTGATATACTATCGATTTTATATTTTTGGCTTGAATGCAACAATACGTAAGTTAAAATATACGTTATTAATTTATATTGTCATTTCATTTAATTTTTATATTTTTTAGGAAATATTTAGTGTACAAAATAAGTGATTTATATGTTACAGATTTACCGAAAAATTTCCAAAGAGTTCTTGACTAGATGCTTATCAACTTGATGAATATTTTTCCTGAGAGCTTTTAGAACCGTAATAGTTTGAGTAAGTTGTTCCATGAGCGCATCATGAGATGTCATTGCATGGAAAAAGGCCTGAGATTTGGACGCGACTTGCTCCGCTATTCGGACTTCCACAATGTCCAAATAATGACTGAGCTGTTACAAAGTATTTTAATATTATATGATATAATTTGATATTTTCGCTACATATTAAAATTTTGTATTTTGTAAGTAATTTTAATTACAAATCAAATTAATTCTGATATATATTTACACACTCTACATTGATGAAATAATTATTTTTATAACATAACAACGCTTAGAGACATTTTAGTAGCAAAGTTTATAAAACGTTTACTTTTTATATTAATAATCATACCTTCTCTTGCATTTGTTTCACGTGCATGACAATATTGCATTCCTCAGTTAATAAACCGTCTTTTGCAAACGTAAACACAGCATCAAAGCTATCTTTTTGTGAAAGATCTAAGTTTGGTACTAAGAAATCTTTGAATAGTAGATAAGTCAAACTGCAATCGATCTGAAGCAAACAATATAAAGCAAAAACTATGAATGTGTTTTTAATATGAAAGATATATTATATTAGTCAAACTAGTTAAAAAAATAAAATTAATTATAAATTTAATAACTAATTATAATATAAATATATAATGTTGTAATAAAAATATAATGTGATATAATTATTTAATTATTAAAATATTTATTCTCAAAGAGTAAAACATACGCTGGTTACGAAATAGAATTTTAACAAATTACTTTATAAATGCAAGTTTTAATTTTCTTTGTATATGTTTTCTATACACTATACATTAATGAATCTTACCCAGTGATTTCATGTTCTTAAGATTTGGAAATGTTTGGAGCAATTCATTTGGAGTAATCGACCTATTTGCAGTCGAATTCATACGTGAATGTTTCCGATATCTCTGTAAAAATAAATAAAAAATACAGACTATTACTCGCAATAAATGTATTAATTAAAAATTGTATTAATTAGTAAGTATTAGACAGTATGAATAATTACCCTTGCTATTTTTTTAAAATACATTTCAAAATGCTGCATCGTGATTTCAGGAAGATAAGGACTCTTTGGAATGTCCACTTTTTCCACAAATCCATCTCCCCAAGTACGAGTAAAAAAGTTACTTTGTTTTCCCTTGAATGGATCGTTTAAAACAGCGGGTAGATTTTGCGCAGCGGAATACACTGTCCATGACGAGCCAGCCTCTGATAACTGACCATTGCTCTTTCGTTGCTGTTGCATAGCTGCGTGCTTAGTGGCATGTGCTATATAATCCTTGTCAGAAACACCTTCCACGGGAAGACTGGTGCATACCCCATTATAGCCATAAAGACATACGAAAGATCCACCTTCTCTCGCACAATGTTGATCTCTCAAGTGCCTAGAAGAAATAACGCATTGTCATGTCACTAATTAATTAAGATCTAAAATAATGTGTGAGTGTCTTTTTAAAGTACAATTATAATCAATTATTATAAAAATATATAGATGCCTTTAATTTTAAAATATGACAGTAAATTTTTAATAGATTAAAAAATTATTATTTTAAAATGATTCATTGCAATAAAACGGAGGACTGTAATTGACAGACGTTAGACAAATGGACCCACCTAACGAAATCTTGAATTTGCTTGAACGTCTGGTTAGTGCAATGCTCACACACCAAAACCATGGGTATGGAATCAGATCCTTTCGCGATTTTTGCCATTGTCCATGTGTCATTTCAGCTCATCATTGTCACATTCGGAGCATTGAGGAAACGCATTTTGAAGCACTATCTCACGCGATGTCTTTCGGTTCTTTGACTTCGCAACCACTTAGCGATTACACGTCCCCACTTATAGATACACACGTTTTACGACACGTTGGCCAATTCAGAAATGAAACAGCCGGCTTGACAAAAGTTACTAACATCATTTCCACATGATCTCAATTCATATAATAAAGCTTAATTGTTTATAAATCAAAATTATATCAATGAGTGTGAGTCATTGTTTTCAACGCGGCGCGCATTTTTAATGACTCATAACTTATTTGTACGAACGAAAATTTCTAAATATTCTCCGAACGTACCACTTCAGCGACACACGCGAGACTGAGCGTGAAGCAGGCCGTCAAGGTAAGTTTTACAGTAGACGTCATGAATGTCCGAACATTTCGGAGTAGGCATTTTCAAGTTAAACGCATAATAGATATTCGCATATCATTGATTATTGTTTAAATAATTTAGAGCTGTTTAAATTGCTTGTTGGTTATGTAAAAAGTAGATTAATAAATCCAAAGCTAAATCTCAAGCAAAAATCTTAAACAGCCTGTAGAACGTTAATTGCGTCTACTGTACAGTTTGACCTGCTTTAGATGGCGTGATGGAGAATGAACTTGTAGCTTTCGATTTCCATCCTATGTTATTTCACTTTTCCTTGCCTACAGGTCGTCGCAAAAGATGCGGTCATTACAGTTCGAATATATCGGTCACATTTAGCAGATAATGCAATTGTATTTGTAATTATTGATAATAAGTAATATTTAAGTTGATTGGTAATTTCTTTTTTATGCTTTAGAATCTTATATTATAACATTTGACAAGCCTTGAGTTTTAGAATTTACATTTTCTTCATTGCGATATATTGAAATTTTATACAGAATACAAAGAAAAATTGTTTATAAATTTTATAAACAAAGAAATGATCTAGAATTCCGGAATATAATATTTAAATGCATCGCAGTAAATTTTAAGACCTAACAAATGATATGATATAGGATTTTATTATAAGTCATAAAAATAAATAAAATGTATTTGAAAATTAATGTACATTTTATTCATTTTTATGTTTTAGAATGCTTGCAGAATGTTTTTATGTGTAACTATGCAATTTGTGCTAGTCTTCTGTACATTGTTACGTGTAAATTTCGTTAAAGCTCATAATAAAGATTAATTTTTAGCTTTGTTTGTTAAAATTATTTTAATTAATCAAGATGAAGGTTACATAGCACATATAAAATCGTATTGTAAAAAACTTTAATATTTGCAGTATCAAAAAAGATTTAACTTAACAAAGCTGAGTAAATGGTAGTCTGAAAATACATTCCATGTGAGTAGACAAGGATAATAATGAGTATATAAAAAGCTGTCTCTGTACTATATTAACAGTTGATTAATTAGCTGTAAACTGATTGTCATTCCCCGTTACGTCTGATAATAATCCCAAATTTGCATCAAGGATCAATTAAATGAGACAGATGGTACACGGCTTATGTGATAATGATCTTTGACTTCAACGCCGACGATTATTATTATTATTAATGTTTTCGTTTGTTCGTGGTAGAGGTGGTGGTGTCGGTATGACTGGTCCGATTTGCGTATTTTGTCTCATTTGCTCTTGTTCCTGTTGTTGTTGTTGTTGTTGATGCTGATTTCGACGTACTTCGTGAGCTAGTAATTTCTGACGTTTTTCTTCCATAAGTCGTTCACGATGCTTGTGTATATAATCATATACATTTGGAAGACCCATTATTACGCAGGCCGACAGTGCCGATCTACATATATTCATGTCTGTCGCTTCATACCTATATATATATAGAATACAATTATAAATGTTACAAATATAAGAGATGCATTTATAAAATTAAGCTATTAAGAAGCTGAAAGTTTTCAACAGACATTTATTATGTCACTGGATTTGTAACATTGCTTTCTAATCAATCTATTTTTACCATTTTTATAATATTTTTTTTTTGTAGCACAATTACAAAGCAATTGCAAAGGATTATTTACCATTCGTTCGTTTTCTCATCGTAACATTCCACTTGATATGTTGTAGTCACACCGTTAAAGCCACCGATAGCAAATATCATGTCGTCAATTACTTCAATGGCGAAGTTACTACGCGGATTATACATATCGGGAATATGACTCCAAGTATTCGTGGAAGGCTTATATTTTTCCCCGCTGCACATTCTTGATATTCCATTGAAACCTCCTTTATTGGAAAGATTGATAATTCTTTTATAATGTTTGATCTTGCAATAAATAAATAATAATTTTAAGAAATTTAATTTTTTAATTTTTAAATTATAAATTTTGGTTTTTATACATTATTTACACAAGAAAATATTACAATGATTGTAGATGAGAAAAGAAGCTAATAACGGTATTTTGAAATTGGCTTTCTCACATACGTAAATGCTTGTGCATAAATTACACAGGTACTGTAATAAGATTTCTTTCATAACAAATGCTTGTCACAGTACCAATAACATAAACGCAGCCGTGATAAGATATGCACGAAACACCGCTTCTGCGCGACCTCATTGCAGTTATCATTGTCCATTGGTTGGTGTTCGGATCATATACTTCAGCCGTATTCATGCAATCGTGTCCGTCGAAACCGCCCGTAATATAAATCTTGTCTATAACATAAAAAATTAACAATAAATATTAATAATAAGAATAATGTGATTGTATTCTAAAACATTGTTAATATAGAGTTTGTACATGAAATAGATTTACAAATATCTAAAATTAAAAAATATGTAATTTCTAAATTAGTATCAGTAATTTACTTTTTATAAATAATTTGATTATAACGCAGATTTTTGCTTTCGATGCGTAATTTTAATTATAAAATTTATTAATTTAATTTAAATAAGTATATCTATGTTTAATTGAGATTGATTATGTTACAATTGATATTTTTAGTCAAAATAAAATAAATTAATGTATTTATTATTAAATGAAAAAATTAAGTAATACCGTTCAAAGTAGTTGCGCTAGCATCAGATCTCTGCACATTCATTGGCGCAATGAGGGACCACTGATTTGTCTTGTAATTATAACGTTCTGTCGTTTTTTGTCGATGATACCCGTCGTATCCTCCCATCGCGTAGACCAAATCATTCAAAACTGCTACACTAACGTAACATCTGTAACAAACAAAAAGATTCTGATACGAGCTTTTATTGCTACTGATACTGTCGAGGAGCTAGTCTCACTGAATTTTAGTTTATATTTGTATAATTTTTCTATATTTATAAATAAAAATTTTTTGACTTTGTTTTTAACTTTACACATAATTTTTTATTTGATTATGATTTAAAAAAATGTATATTTAACATTGGATAAACACAAGAAGTATAAAAAACTACAGAAGTCACCTCTTTCGATACTTTTCACGATGATACAATGAGATAAAATGGATAAAGAAGCTTATAATCTTAAAATATTAAAAATAAAAAAATTATATACATAATATATAATTTATCGAATCAATAACATTATATAGTGTGGAAAAAATTGGAAAGTCAAATATCCTTCTTGTGTTACTTTTAGTATTAAATACAACTGTGAATATAAATGTCAACCTAATTGTATTTGTTATATTATTTGTTTAAGTATTTGTAATATAAATAAGAATTAAAATCATCCAAGTCGTAGAATACGTGACTAGCTCCTCTGAAATATATTTGACCTTCTAGCGTTCATGGGAGCAACTTCTCGCCACACCTTGGTCACCGCGTTGAAGCAACGACAACTGTTGAAATAATCGACTCCATCAAATCCTCCGATGATGTAGATATCGAAACCAACCACCGCGAGTCCGTGATAAGCTCGCGGACCAGTCGGATCCGTTTCCTCGATCTAAAAAATTCGATATTGCATGAATAACTGTTGAAACTCTGTCGAAACAATAATATTTATCTTAGGAAGGCATATTAATTTTAGTACAGCAAGCGGCTTAAAAACAATAAACAATAATTTTTTAATTTTTTGTTCGATTGATTTCTCTTTTATAGGCTAACACATAGATAGATAATTTATATATTTATTTCCACTTTATATTTTCTTGATTTTTATAGTCTACTTTATGCTGACAGCATTCTGTTATGCGCGCAGATGACGTATGAGAAATTATTTTTTTTCTCTATATCAAAATCCGTATCAAAACACTTAAACTCGTAAAGTTGTGTAATAAAATTTGTATAAAATATTATTAACATTACCGGAATCCAGCGATCTGCTCTTGTATCATACGTTTCGATATAATTTGTCGGGGAGCCACCGCTCCATCCACCTATGGCGAACAGAATCTCGTGTGGAACTCTTGGTCGCGCAATTTCCGGTGTGGGCACTTCTCCGTCTTTTTGTGTGATCATTTCTAGATCGTACAAGAATTTCAAAGTTTCAATGATGATGGGTCTGCACGCATCGTTGCCCACAACGTAAGGATGATCCTTGACATTCTCCAGAAAAAACTGTGTATCTAAAAGACCAAGCCTGATGTTTTTCATCAGATCGACTATATAATCCTTTCTGAATTCTGAATCGTGATTTATCCATCTCAGAACCAGTTCCCAAACAGTCTGCTCGCTTTTAACATTTAATTCATCCGCACCGACTAATGGCCTTAGTTCTTCGATAGGTAAATTTAAAATTTCTTCGCTTCTTTGAGATACCTGATACGTAAATAAAAATAAATGGTATACGTAAAAAAAAATAATTATTATGTTAATCGAGCGTACCTCGACAAAGTGTCCTACGATAAAACGGTAAGCGTCATTTTCTAATTTTTTGCAGAAATGCTGACGAGCGAATCTCATCACTTCGATGCAATTTTCTGGAGCCAAATTATCCCTTAGATAATCACAGCATAAATCAAGCACACCTAAGATGCTTAAATAATCTGCCGTGGTCAACAGTTCACATACATTTTCACGATTTACATCAATAGATCGCAAATATGCGTATTCCAGCAAAAGATTCATCATTGGACTCGTTACACCTGGCAGAAGAACGTCGGTTTTCTCGCGAGAATGCAATGTAGTTGTGAATAATGTTCTGTAAAATTAATCAAGCAATAACGCTTTAGTGATATTTATTTTAATAAATTTATTATTTAAAATTAGGATAATAAAAGTCAAAGTCACAAAACAATTCTTATAAATTCTTCAAATTATTATAAAAAACACTTACTAATTTTTTTGCATATAAAAATAAATATTCCTCAATTTATTATTACATTTGCAGTAATAGTTATTATTATTTATTAATGCAAAATCCAGAAAAAAATTAAATATAAATTAAACCGTTGAATAGAATTAAACCTGAAATAAGTACTGCATGCTGAAAGTATAGCTCGGTGAATCGGGAAGACACCACCATCCTCTAATCTCAATACTGCGTCGCAAAGCAGATTATTTTGTCGGAAATCATAGAGCGATTGCATTGCCTGTGTGCTCATGCAACGACCACCACTTTCGGCTATCAAACGTTGATTATTTGCATTGCATTTTTCATTTTTTCTATTACTTGTACTTGGCTCTGCATCCATATCAAAACTTTAGCAAATAAAGTGTTTGAAGTTCCGATGACAATTCGATGAATTACAACATTAATATATTTTTATTGTATTAAACAGGGCCGTCAATAAATCTATAGAAAAGAAGAAACATAGCGAGTAGTAATTAAAATTTAAAAACCATAATATTGCAAGAGATTAAAAAGAGAGCGATGCAAAAATTATACGATTAAAACATAAATTAAGACATAAAAATATATCATACATTATATATAATTGATTGTTTTATCGTATATTAAGCTCAGATAGATTTCTAAATTACATAGATTATATTTAATAATTTACCTCACATTTATCGAATAAAAATAATTGCTTCCTGAGAATTTAACGATCGTCTAGAAGGTTAGAAGTTTGATTGATCTCAATGTAGTTTGATTTTTCTACAATTTGCAACTTGATAATTTTTCAATCTGAGATGAGGACGTGGTTATGATAAAATCTTGTTCACAATCAACTGCTAAGGACGATTAGCAATGGGTGGGATGTACTGCTGTGTGTCGGATTCATATGTGCTGGAATTTGGAATGTGTCAAAATTTTGACACGTGGGCGGAGAGATGAAAGACCGATTCGTACACTGAAGAAATGCGGAAAGGCGTGAAGGGGAATGAAAGCGGTGAGGGGATTGTAAGAGATACAAACTATTTTGTATGATTTTAAAAGCGAATAAATGTCGCGTTTGGCTATAACATGTGGTCTTACATGTCCGCCGTTCAATTAGAGACTGTTGCTTGACAAAAGAGATCTTTCTGTTCCTGTTTCATAGTGAGCTTTGTACAATTATCAATTATACACATTTATTTTAAAATACCATAAAACAATATGTATTATAAAAATGTATAAGGCGCGTCAATTTCGATGCATTGATTAAATTATGCTGCTACAGTAAAACATAAAAAAAAGTTTAAAACGTGTTTTATGATAAGTTTCTCTTTCATAGATATACTATAAGAGCATATCTATCTACCATAGAACTTGTAGATATTTCTTTGCAAGTTGGATTAGTTTAATTGTTGCATTAAGGATGTTATGTCCTTTTTTCATAGTAAAAATTTGTTATATGTAATTTTATTCTATATTCGCACTTCTTAATATAAGAATATTTTTTAACTGGAATATTTATCCAGTCTCCGTAAATTGTCTTGTGATTTTACATACATTTGTTATTAATTAAATTAATTGTCAGAAAAATCTGTGTATATGAATATCCTTTTTTACACGAGATTATTGCATTAACACATCACAAGCTGAAGATACTTGTCACTCGAGATAACAGCTTCAGGTATTATCAAGGTTTGAAACATTAAGTACATGTTGCAGATTACAAGTGCACGCATTTACAATCTCATTGTTGCCACAATCTTCGTTGATGTGTTCGTTCTCCTCAACTCCTTTCTCGTTTCTCGACTTCTTGTCTTTCCCTTTCGAACCCTTCGATGTGTTCTGTTTTAATACATTGTGCTTGCAACCCGATCGTCTGCAATTATGAATCAGGCAGGCATTGTTATCTGGCATCAATCCGCAGATCGGTAACATAGACGTGACAGAATACGATGTGGCAAAGCCGTTGCTCCTCGAAATATCGCCGAAAAATGTGTTCCACTTGTCAACTAAGGACTCGTATCTTATTGTCGTATGATTTTTCGCCTGTATCGATATTGAATCAATTTCTTCTTTCTTTTTCATCTCATTTGGTTGCTCACCCAATAACCTGAACGTCCACGTAACAACAGTGAACGTTGCTGCGTTCGTCGGAAATGCTCGAAGAATCGTCGAATTTAAACCTCGATATAAGCAACTATATCCTTCAGCGCGTACGGATTTCTTAAGACAATCTAAAGCTCCTGAATAACGATTGCTGCTTTCCGCCTGTATACGCGACTTAATTACATCTATTGGATAAGAGATCACCCAGGAAGCAGTGCCAGCGAGTCCACCAGCCAACAACATGTGAAATGTTGAAATCGGCTCCTTCGAAGATGTCTTGGTTAGCATCTCATAGGTCACAAAATACACGCCGTAACTTGGCCCTTCCCTGAGAAACGTAATACCTAGACCTTTAAAAATGCCACGGTAACCCTGCTGCTTATAGATGTTCCTCAAGCATTGCATTGGTCCATGAGAGTTACCTTGAGATGAGGACTGCAATTGCAGACGTGTTTTAGCTAATTCTATCGGACTAGAAACGGGAGTTTGAGAAAGTCCGGCGAGTGCACCGGCCAGGAAGCACGCCGATAATCGATCAGGTTCGGACAGGTGCCGCTGAGTGTGCCCGTAAACGCCGAAGACGATAGCGTTTACTATAGCCACCCCAGCGATTGGCGAGGACATGCCTCTATAAAGGCCGCTTACCTGCAACAAAATTCGTAAATAATTATATTAGTGGATTTTGTCAGAAAATAAAAACAAATTAATATTTAGCTCCATTTTTATTAACTCTCTGCTATAACCAATTGCTTCTTAATTACCGATTCTTTCGCAAGTATGGTACGCAAACAATCCCAGGTGCCTCGATATTTTGGATTACGGCAATCCTGCGTCTGCATGTGGACTTTGACTGTATCCAAAGGATATCCCACCATAATACCGGCACATCCTGCAATTTTAAAAATAAACTCCCGTTTTATGATATAGAGGAAAAATTCTTCTTGTAAGCACTTATATATTTTTTCTGTACAATCTACTTGTAAACGAATTAAATTTTTGATAAGCACAAGCCGGATAAAACCGGAATGTGTGAAATCGCAGTTTCTACATGTATCACTTTTGACCTGAGAGATAATCAAGTTACACAATGAAACACAATTTCTTATTTTGTTAATTAAATAAATTGTTGTTGATATATAAACAAATTTAGTTTATCGTAACAAGTAGACACTAATTTAGATAATTTACATTTTGCTATTTTAATTAGATATCTATTTATCAAACATATAAGAAATATTGAAATTAAAAGAAAATTTTGTAGTTGATAAGAAAAGTTATACTACAACATTTAAAGAGAAATATTATAACAATTATAATACTATGTATGCTAACTAGCAATAATGAACAATTTAATTTGCATCAGATGAATTTTACCTCCCAAGCATCCAGCGAAGAAATCGAGCGATAAAGCCATCCTTGTCCTGTGTTATTAACAATAACTTTCCACTTGCAAAATCTATTTCTGTCGGAATCGTCTTTAAACCTCGTTTCTCTTTGGCATGTATTGAAGAATATACAAGTGGTAGGTTGGTTAATTGTAGTGGGCGAAAAATTTGAATCCATGAAAAACTGATTACTGTGCTTAACCAAATAACATTTATCTATTTCTGAAAAAAATATAATTATACGATATCATTAAAAAAGTGAAATTGCAATAATTTTATTTATTAACAAATAATTTAATATATTAAAAGTTTATCGAAATATGAACAGTTTTGCGTGACAAGCATTAAATTGTCGTAATATTTTTAAATTTGACATATAAGTGATAAGTTTAATTTTATATCTTTCATTTCTTTGATCTCTTTTTTTGATAAAAATGATAAAACTTTTTGATTAAAACTTAATATAATTTAAAAATGTGTTTGTTTATTTTATAATACATTAAAATTATATTTTTACTAAGTCCAAATTGTTGATAGAAATAAAACAAATTTAGAATGTAAGTATGTAAAATGAAATAACACAACCACAAAACTTTCCAGAAGTTATGTAACTGCATTAGTTTAATCAACAGATGATTGTGTTTTAATATTATCACTTCATTACAATTGCACAATGGTCTTTATCAAAACAAAAACATGATATCGGGAAGTTTATTTGCGTTAGAATACTATGAAAACGCATTGCCAAATAAATACCGACGTGCTCTTCTCAATTCACATTTTTAATTTTTCCTCTTACCAAAAATCACATATATATGTCCGTACAAAGGAAATTGTTCCGCGTGCTTCTCTCGGCGAATCTTATTCCTTACTGAAACCGGCGTTTCTTCCAATTTTCTCTTGGTACAAAGATCATCGTTTGCACTATCAAAACACTGACTTACATACAAGTGTTATCCATACAAGTGTTATCATGACAGTGTGTTATGTATATACATATATATATATATATATATGTATATATATATATATATATGATTTAAAGAAATGTTAATAACATTTATACATCTTACCACGACTTATGTTAATCGTGACCGGGCGATGCGCTGGTCAAGCATTCGTCGATAAGATTGATCACGCCTCATAACATTCACCGTAACTATATCGTTTTATATTGGCATCATTTACAAATCATCGTCTCATATTGGTATCAGTTGCAAATATTCATGTTTATATCTAGAATGCAAAAATAATGATATGAGCAATTTCAACTATTTGCGAGGACGCAATATAGGAGAGTGATAACTAATTATGTTTACGAATCTCGTATGACATGTTATTTGCAACCGTATTGACTAAGCCGATCTATTTCGTTGCAGCTATAAGAGGCATCACAAACTTTTAAATATAATTTTAATATCTTTTGAATATCTTCTAAATTTTATATTATTCTGAAACTTATTGACAAGATTTTTTTGAACAATTCATCGAATGGATACAACCAGATAAAATAAAAATAATATTGTCACATTATCTCATTTCAAAATAATAGTATAATATAAAAATATCTTTGGTATATATATTTTCACTCTACTTTACATTACTATTTTGCGTATAATTTTGCTATCTAAATACGCAATATACAAAAATGTATGCTGTCTTCTTTTATGTGATTTTTAAATTGAGCGGTATTATGATACATCTATATAATAGCTATAACAAATAAAAACATACTATATATAATGCAATTGAGTAAAAAAAATAAACTATATATTTTATTGCATTAAATAATAAAATTATATTTATGTGTACATAAATGATAACTAATTTTATAATTTTTGCAATATTTTATCATACGAGTATCAGCATTTTGATAACCCTTCGACCCTTTGTCATATATTTTATAGCTTTTTTCATACTCTCGTCAGATATCATCATTTTTTTTATACTTTCGTAATTCAAGAATACTCTTTCGTCAAGTAACCTGTTAAAACGGATGGTTATGCGGCGCCAAACATCAGTTGTTCCGCGTCACCGGACGAGTGAAGAACAGTTAACTCAGTGAAAGTTAAGTCAGTTGCACGTATTTTAAAAATTTAAACAATGTACGCGCAAATAAGCCGAAAAACGCCAGATATCGAAGAGGAAAGCGAATCACTTCTTAGCAGTTCTCCTTTAGATACGGTAATAAATAAAAAGATTTAGTAAGATTATTATTAGCGAAAGGTTGATGACACAAGGCATATTATTTTCATAGTTTTTTGTTTAAAATAATTAATTATACTCATTTACGTTACCAGAATAATAAACACTTTTCTTGTAAAATTGAAATATAATAGGACTCCTAATGATAATAATCAAATTTTATAGAAAGGGGTTAATGAGTCGATGCTAGATGTTTGTGCAACAAATATTTATCAAATAAACACAAAAGATAAATGTTTCGACCTGTGATCAGGTTTTTTTTAATGTCAGAATACAACTTATAACGCATGTATTTTAACTGGTGTAATACTCTCAATTCTAAGTCGCACGCATTCTATATCTTAATATATTAGTGACCTTATTTAATTATTAATTCCCATACGCACACAATTTAACAACAATGTTATTTAAAATAATATTTCGCCGAGTGTGATTTTTACAATAATGTAGCTGAACGATTTTGAAACGACTATATTTCAACCGTAGGTTTAAATACAGCGTTTTCATTAAATAATAAGTCAGTGAAAGAGTCCAAGATTTGTAATAAGTAAATACCAAAAATGAAAACAGTAGAGAACAAGTTAAATAAAGTCAAAACTCTCGAGCGATGTGAAATAACACTATTTCACGATTGAGACACCTTTGTTTTTCAAACAAAGTTAAGTATATAAATATATGAGAAATTTTTAATTTGCAGATTAGAAATTAGTTTATCTAATTCACTTTATTGTGTATTTAATTGTTAGCATCATAATATATGTCAATCAAAAATTAGTTGTACGCGCGAAGTATTTTCGTATCATTCAACTTTCTAAAAGCGCATAATAGCAATTGCAAATAGTGTTAAAAAAAATTCAGTATTAAAAAATGCGTGCGTTATAAGTTATATTTTGATATTGAAAAAGGACTGATCACAGGTCAAAACGTTTATCTTTTGTATTTATTTGGTCAATATATGTTGCACGAACATCTAGCATCGACTCATTGACACTTTTCTTGTAACAATAAAAAAAAAATAAGAAGACATCCGTAGGAAGTATTGTAAATAAAAATAATCATACATTTAAGAAATTAAATTGACGGCAAATTTTTAACATGGATAACCTTATCATCAATTTTCTTATATTTATATATTATATATATTCTAAAGTGTGGAAATTGAAATTATTAAAAAATATCGCTTGCAACTTGTTTTGAAGATGATAGTATAAAAAAAATATGATAGTGTCAGTTGATGGAAGTTAAAGCTAAATATTAACAATTATATTAGTAATGTTTAGTGTATATAAAACAAATTAAGCATGTAAAAGTATTAAACATTGATTAAAGAAAAAAAAGGAATGTTTTCTCACGTAATATAAAAAAGATAATTGTCGAGATAATTTGTCGAGAAATCTTTGAATATGAATAACTTTATATATTTTGCTTCGTATTAGATGAAATTAAACGATTTCATAACGAAAAGACGAAAATACCATAAATTTAAGCATAAGTTATTTAGATTTATTATAATTAGAAAAATAAAATATTCATACATAAAATTATTTGAATTCCAGTATGGCGAAGAAACTCTATGAAAACAATATTTTGTGAATAAAAAAAGAAAAAAAATCGAGAACAAACATTTTTTGAAAATTAATTTAGTTTTTACATTTTTAAATGTCTAAAATATATAAATTTAAAAAAAATCGATATAGATTTAGAAGATTTCGATATTAAAAGGTTACGAAGGCATTGTACGATTTATAATTTGTCATTTTTATTTTATCTTAAAAATAATAAAATTATTCCAAAAAAATGATAAAGAGTACATGCTATTTCTTATATAGATGTCTTATATCTACTGTACTCTGTGTTGTATTTATTACATTACATACTATGCTTATTATACATACTATACTATATTATTATACTATGCTTATTTATGCAATGTTTAAATAAATAAAAAATATGTAATAAATGATTTTTCTAAAAAAAGTGAAATATTTACAAATTTAATAACAATTAATTTCGTAATATTATCTAATAACAATTTTTATCACAAATCGGTGTGATAAAACTTGTTATTAGCCAATTGTAATTTATTAGATATGTAATACTTGGTGCATATGTTTTGCATGTGAAATGACGCATGTGCATCATGTGAAACTCTAACGATAATTTAATTTTAAATCAGCATATTTATTGATATGAAGATAAATGAAATAACAATATGATGAAAAAAGGTCAATTATTTCATAATGTACGTATTTGTAAACAACGCCATTTATCAAATGATGGAATTTCCATCGTAAAAGAGTTAAACCATTTTAAACCTTTGAGATAAGATTTTATGATCACGAATTTTTATTTTATTTTCTGGAGGAGCATGCCTTTTAAATGATACAAGCGATACAAGAGTATAACGCGTTTAAATCTTTCCTTATACAGATTATATGGAGAAATCGGCCTTGACTTTCAAACTGCTTTCCGCGATCAAAATGATGCAAAACTTTCAATGGATTGCAATATTTATTTTTACTTAAAATTAACACTTTTTCTATATAATAATATTTAATTGGTCATTCAAATTGTTCTATTCGTTGCGTATATAGTCATATCTATGCTTATTCATAGAATAAATGAAGAAAATTATGTATGTTGAAATAATTTTCTATATTTCATTGAGTTTTTCATTTATCAAGTCAGAATAAGAGGGGGAATTCTGGCAACCATATAAACGGATCAAAGATTGCTTGCCATGCAGTTTTAACATTTGCTTTATAGTTTACCTTTCGTGGCGTATAAAAGCATTTGAGTCTTAAAAACGCGAAAATACTTATTCATTCATGGCAGTTGTAATAAAATGGCCGGTATGTTTGTGTGACATATTAATTAAATTGAAAAATATAAAATTTATTAATTTTATATTTAAATAAATTTTCTTATATCCAGTATTAGTATATTATAATTATTTATTTTAAGAAAAATTTTATTAAAAAATATTAGCAATATTAATGCAAATCATCCCACAATTTGCATTTATATATTTTTAATATATGTTTTTATATTTATTGAAACACTTAATATTTTATAATATGAAGAAATTGCTTTATTAGCAATTGTTCTGTTGTGTTATTAAAATATTTTTGCCATAAATGTTGGCATAAGTTTGTTGTGTGAGAACATATAATCATTAAAATCAAATAAATTATTTGTTAGCCAAAACTTATTCATGGCGGAAATTATATCAAAGAAGGTCGGGATTCAGCTAGAAGCACTTGCTTAATTTTTTCTCCTAAAGAAGAAGATGAAATTGGATCATTGGGAAGATATCTCCAACTCTTCGCCGTAAGTCAGATGAAATTGTTTCATTTAATTGTTTAAATCATGCATTGAAAAAAATACAAATTCGAAACATTATTATTTTAGAAACACAAAGTGAATCTTTTACATATCGAGTCCAGAAGTTCTCTACGACGACCAGGCGGCTATGAATTTATGGTGGAATGTGCACCGGGTGGTAATATAGCCTCCGCAATTGAATCCCTACGAGAGCAATGCAACTATTTTTCGATAATCTCTAGGTGGAAAACCCGATATTATATAACAACTAATTTTTAATTAATTCTTTTTTTATTTGATAATAATTGTATCGCAAAATGATTTGATTAATTATAACTATAAATTGATTAATTATAACTATCAATCAATCGTATCATACATACTGTTTAATATTTATTTGGTCCATTAAGTTAAATATAAATTAGATTTTAATCGCACTTTCAGAAATCATAAAGACAATATGGATACAGTACCATGGTTTCCAAGAAGGATACGCGACCTCGATAAGTTTGCTAATCAAATTTTGTCCTATGGTGCAGAACTCGATAGCGATCATCCTGGTTTCACAGATCCCGTTTATAGAAAGAGAAGGAAATATTTCGCTGACATTGCTTACCACTATAAATAGTAAGTGAAGTACGCCACGATATCAAAGTAGGATCGCAAAATACTTTAGGCAGATATTTATAAAAATATTTTAGTATTATTAATCAAAAGTGCTTATATAGTATATCGTAAAAATTAAGATTAAACTATGTCACTATATATTTCAACTGTATTATATTCTAGCGGACAAGTTATTCCAAGAGTGAAATACACGCCTGAAGAAATAGCTACATGGGGCGTAGTCTTCAAAAATTTGACTAAACTTTATCCAAAGTACGCTTGTAAGGAGCATAATCACGTTTTTCCCTTGCTCATCGAAAATTGCGGTTATCGGGAAGATAATATACCCCAACTCGAAGATATATCCAACTTTTTGAAGGGTAACATCTCACTTATATGTGATATAAAAAAAGTCCATTCTTCAATCTTTTAATGGATTTTAGATTCTACCGGTTTCACACTTCGTCCAGTGGCAGGGCTACTGTCTTCACGCGATTTTCTGGCTGGTTTAGCATTTAGAGTGTTTCACAGTACGCAATATATACGACACAGCAGTAAACCACTTTATACGCCCGAACCGGATGTATGTCATGAGATTTTAGGCCATGTGCCTCTCCTCGCTGATCCATCTTTTGCACAATTTTCACAAGTTATTGGTCTGGCGTCTCTCGGTGCTCCAGATGATTACATAGAAAAACTTGCAACGGTATTACATAGAAAACTTTTAAAATCTAAATATTATATAAATTAGTTTACTTGTTTATTCCTTTTTATACTTTTTTATAAAAATGCAAACAATAAAATATCTACTTTTACTACTGATCTTTTACAAATGATGTCAGTACTTTGTAAAATGTGCTGGATAAAATACCACATTATGTTTATTTATAAGCATAACCTGTATTCTTGTAGTGTTTCTGGTTTACGGTGGAATACGGATTATGTCGACAGAACGGCGAATTAAAAGCGTATGGCGCCGGTCTTCTCTCATCATTTGGAGAATTGGAATATTGTTTAAGCGACAAACCAGAACTTCGACCTTTTGATCCACCAAAGACTGCATTGCAAAAATATCCGATAACGGAATATCAACCCGTATATTATGTTGCTGAAGATTTTGAGGACGCAAAAGAAAAAATGATGTAAGTATAGAAACAATAAGTTAATGTGTAAATGTGTCACGTAGATCGTCTTATCTTGTCTATTGTCTTGTGACAACATTATTTGCCTCACATTATGTACTATATTGATAATGCACTTATCACAACCCAAAAGCATAATTTTTATGTTGCGCGATAATTGCAAATAAACGCAAATAAAATCATAAACTCAAGAAGACCGATTGATGAAGTAAGCGATCAATTTTTGTTAATTTTAGGAAATTTGCCCAAACCATACCGAGGAAATTCGGAGTAAGGTATGACGCTTATACACAGAGTATCAGCATTATTGACAGTAAACAACAAGTGGAAACTCTTGTGAATAATGTGAATCAAGAAGTACAGATTTTGATGGACGCTTTGAAAAAACTGCAACATTAGAATTAATTTTATTCGATAACATTTCTTTTTAGCATATTTTATAAAATTATAATTAATTTTTTTATTTCTCTAAAAAAATTATTATACTAAAACATATAATAACATATACACGGAGAAAATTTTATATAAAAAATTATATGTACGGCATTAACCACGGACTACGAAGCCGCGGACCAAAAATTTTTACTATGTTTCACATGTGAAAATCATAGTAAAAATTT